GTCTTCCATTTAACAAATGTCGAAAATACCTCATTTTTGTTTTCAGAAAATACACCCACACCATCCTTGAGTAATCATCAATCAAAGTCATAAAATACCTAGCACCACTCTTGGAGGGAACTCTGTTTGGACCCCACAAGTCAGAGTGTATATAATCTAACTTGTCTCTGGTCTTGTGCTCGGCCTTCTTGATGAACTTTACCCTTGTCTGTTTACCAAATACATAATGCTCACCAAAATTCAAAACTTGATTTTTGTATCCATTCAACAAATTCTGCTTACTCAACAAAGACAATCCATTATCACTCATATGGCCAAGTCGCAAGTGGCACAACTGAGACTGATTCATATCACTTTTCCCAGAAGCTACAACAGCTTCCCTTTCAACTACACTGGCCTGAAAATGATACAATTTAGAATGTAGTTTACCCTTCATGAGTACCATGGAGCCTTTACACACTTTAAGTATTCCATTCTCGGGGTGAAATTTATACCCTTGATCTTCCAAAGTTGAAAGAGAAATCAAATTTCTCTTTACCCGAGGAACATGCCAACACTCAATGTTTCTGATAATTCCGCCGAACATTCTCAATTTGATGTTACCAATCCCCTCTACTGGTAATGGATTATCATCTCCCATATAGACAGTCCCACTCATTTGTTTGTAAGTTGCAAACCAATTCTTGTATGGACACATGTGGAAAGTAGCACCAGAATCAAGAACCCAAGAATTTTGCCCATGACTAGAACTCACAGCTCAAAACATAATCACTATCATCAGAATTATTGCCAGCGTCGACAATATTTTACGAATTATCTATTTTTTGCTTCCCTCTTTTCTCCTTTAGCTTAGGACAATCTCTCTTGTAGTGACCTTGCTCCCCGCACTCATAACAATTTTGCTTCCTTGCTCTAGACTTTGATCTTGCGGTTGACTTTTTCCTGTTAAAGTCCTTTTGTTGTGTTCTTCCTCTAATCACAAGACCCTCACCCTCAATTCTATTGTCTGGAAAGCTCTTTTTCGACTCTTTAGATTTTAGTGCATTACTAATATCTTCTAGTGAAATGCTATCTTTCCCATATAACAGTGTATCGGCAAAAGTATCATAAGATTGTTGTAAAGAACATAACATAATCAAGGCTTGATCCTCACTCTTAATTTTGATATTCACATTCTCCAGGTCCATTATAATTGAATTAAACTCATCAAGGTGAGTTTTAACAGGTGTACCTTCGTTCATACATAGATTGTATAACCTTTTTTTTCCAGGTAGAGGCGGTTTGTCAACGATTTCCTAGAATACACATCTTCCAGTTTCTTCCATGCCGTTGCTGCAGAAGTTTCTTCAGCAATTTCCCAAAGAACGCTATCTGTAACGCTCATGAAGATTGCACTCAAAGCCCTCTCCTTCAGGTCTTCCTTCTTTGTCTCTTTCATATCTTCAGGAAAATCCTCATCAATTGCTTTCCATATTTTCCTTTCCCAAATCTATTAGGACAATGGGTTTTAATAAACCTATAGGAACTATGAGTTTCCTAAAAATACAAAGGAAATAATTCAAGCCACAAATAACACAACCCAATTGTGCATAGCTAGTGCTGCCTTTTTCACTCAGTCATGTGTTACTGCTGCTACCTACTATCCCTTGTACTGTGAGCTTTATGAAAAGACTTGTCTTTCCATGCCTAGTTTTCCAATCATGACAAAATTGCCGAAGCTCAGGTTTCCAAATCTGCCATCTCTTGGTTCTAGCACTAGTCAGTATCCCCCAATAATCATGCACATACTTGGGCACTTTGATAACTTTGAAAAGGCAGACGGGTCCTCTTTAACTCCTTTGATAAGTTGGAAGAAGAGGTAGGTACACCAAATTTCCTCTGCTCTTTCAATCCGTTCCTCTTACAACATAATAGCTAGTCTTGATTATGTATGCATGCCAAACTTGAGGACAACAAGTTAACCATACTTCAGGCTGCTAAGGTATTGTATAATTGTCGAAGAACTGTAACTTGAAGAACTTATAGCACGCATTTGAATCGTTGTTCTCATGCTTTAAAAAAATATATTAACTGCATCAAAGTAGATAGAAATATAGAGCACTAGCTTACTGAAAATTATCGGAGTCAAGTTTAATGGTAGGTAAGGTATACATTTGCTATATACCTGATTTTAAAGAAGGATTGTTTGACTCAAGTTCATGTGAATTTAGGTTGTCTATTGGATGAAGAAGCTTTGGAATGTAGTAACGAGAGGTCCAACTTTGCCATCATTTTATCTTGACAAACGAGTTGAAAATGATAATGAGTATGGCTTCAATATTCATAAGCCAAACTCTAGCAGCTGCATAGAGTGGCTTGACAATAAGAAGACTGGTTCAGTCGTCTACGTCTCTTTTGGCAGTGCGGCAAATTTAAGTGCAGAACAAATAGCAGAAGTAGCTGATGCTCTCAAGTAGAGCAACATCACATTCTTATGGATGGTGAAACCTGATGAATAATAATGTAGCACCGAGATACGATAATTAACAAGAATAAAAGAGTAACAATGACACCAAGATTTTTACGTGGAAAACCCTTCTGAATAAGGGAAAAAACCACGACCCCGAGAGGAGCAACTGATATCACTATAGTAAGGAATTTTACACTTTGTAGGTCGGAGATAAATACTCCAAAGACCACTACAACACTCAAAAGAAATAACCCTCTTTTGATATTCCCACCTCACTACAATATCGCTCACTCTCTATTTTCCTCACAGACTATTTTCTTATACCTTGTCTGTGAAACCTCACTCTTTCTTTCTCTCTTTGTTGGTGTGTAGAAATGAGAGTTGAAGCTCTCCTTTTATAGCCAAAGCTTCACCCTCTAAAGCCTACAATATTTGACAATTTACACACACTTTTCACAATTCAACAAAGTTGGCTACCAAACCAAAGAAATTCAACAAGGTTGGCTACCAAACCAAACTAATTCAACAAGGTTGGCTACCAACCAGACCAAGTCAACAAGGTTGGTTACCAAACCAAAGAAAATTCTTATTAGGCACATGCCTAATACTTCTTCAATGAGATGGACATCATCAGATCAAACTATAACTGAAATTATATAGTTTATCTGACTTGTGTTCTGAAGTATACTCTGATGTTTGATTTGCTTTAACAATGTATTTATTCTGGTGATTGAGCAAGCAAAATGGTCCCCAAAAAGTCACCATATTTCACCAGAATTTCGATTTTTTTGATTGAATGGTGAAACACGGAAAGAGTTACCAGATTCTTGTTCCCTAACTCTTCATATGGCCAATGTGTGTAATCAATTGACGGAAGTGGTAAGAGATGATGTTTTATGTAATATTGATATTACAAAAAATATTTAAGGATAAATCTAATGTTGTTGCATGATGCATTTTGGAATAGAGACGATCTATAATCTTCTATATTGAAGATTATGTCATGTATCCGAGGAGAGCGTATTTAAGTAATGATTATAAGATATTATGCAAAAGGAGATTTTATTTCTAACAAAACTAAAAGCACGGGATTGATGATATTTGATTTCGTAACAGGAATTTTTAATTCTGACTCGAACCCACGACCTTTAAAATATGTGTTTACTACTTAAACAATATAATTCTTTATGTACTATTATAAGGGTTAGATTGGTCATTCTAGTATTTTTAATCCATATATCACTAACACGTTCTTATAAAGGTTACATTCCTATACCACATTATATCATGCATGGATATACCACATTAAAATAATACAGATATTCATTTTTTTGAATTAATTGCAGCAGTAGCCAATTTTTGCCATTTAAGCTATATCTAGTATTTTTCAAATTATTTAACTGATATCCAATGTTGGCAAGCTTCTAGCAAAAGCCTTTTTTTTTTTTTGCTTCTCCATTCCTCCTCCTTAGTGGAGTTACTGCAATCATAGTTCTTCACACAACTCCATCAACAACACCAACCATAACATATCAACTTTTCTATTTGATGTATATATTATTGATGGATGTTTCTCTGTTTTGAAATAGTTTTAGACTTTGTTCGAAGAACTAAAGATAAAATTGTTATGGGTCTTTGTAAGCAAGGGGCGAAGCTACACCCTGGTAAGGATGGTCAATTGACCACTATTCGTTGGAAAATTATATTGCTTATATTAGGTAAAATATTAGGTTTTAGAGATATATAAAATATACTCCTATTAAACACCCTTTATCGGAGATTGTTTTTACTTCTTTCGAGTTTGAATACCCTTAGAAAAATTTCTGGCTTCGCCACCATAAGTGATCGATACTTAAAGTTGTTGGTGATTAATTTGTTCGAATTCTGCTGTTTATTGAATTTAAGTTGGAAGCTTTAAAAATCGAAAATGGTTATAGGTTCGTTCAGTGGCGGACCCAGGATTTTTATCAAGCGGGTTCAAAATTCAAAGAAGCAAATATACAAAGAGGTCAACAAAAACTATATATTAATAGAATATATTATTACAACTGTCCTCTACGAGTTTTCATGTCCTGAAACGTATTCATAATAGTCTCATCAGAAATGGCGTTAAATATTTTTCTTTCTACATAAGGTACCAAACAACCGCTCATGAATTCGTCATTCATTCGGTTTCGCAATTCACTCTTGATCAACTTCATCGCCGAAAAAGTTCTTTCAACTGTAGCAGTGACAACTGGTAGAAGCAAAGCAAATTTTACAAGGCGAAACACAAATGGATAATTCAAATGCTTCTTTGTCTTAACTAGTGTTTCAGAAAGGTCCTTATAGATTTGAGAACCTTTTATCAACATCATGAACATCAACAATATAAGTTTCAAGTTGATTCTTGAGCGTAACCATTATATTCTCATCAAAATCGTCAGGATACAATTCAACCATCATTAATATCTTGTTTATGTCAAAACTGGAAAATGAATCAACTGGATTTAAGCAAGCTACTCCAACAAGCAAGTTCGTTGTCACCTCATTAAAACGAGCATTNGCATACCATGAAAGAATCTCAAGAAAGTTGCCCTTGTTTAATTATGATTCATCTTCACGATGTCCACGAAATGCCAATCCTTGATTCAACAGGAGTCTCACAACCTCAATTGAAGCCTTCAAGCGAATTTTGTATTCAAGCTTGGTTTGACTGGAATGCCTATCAAATGAAGTTTGATTTGACTGCTTTTGTTTTATTAGATCTTCACATTTCCTTTTTGCATGATTATGAATACTGCTCGACTTGCCAACATGCATATCGAATCTCTTCTTTTTTTGCCAACTCTTAAATCCTAAACTTGAAAATACATCGCCTCCGCCTTGATGAATGTCTTCATCTTGAAACAGGTAACAACACAAACAATAAGCTGCATCTTCTATCACACTGTACTCCAACCAATTACGATATTCATCAAACCATTTAGGATTGAAACGGCGCTTTAAGCCCGAAAAATCTCTTTGAGGAAACTTATGATGTCGGGGTTGGCAAGGACCTCTTCGGAGATATTCTCTTTTAATCTCATCACGCTCATTTGGATGATAATCTCTAATGGGTATTCTCTCCTTTGGATCAGTCAGTAAAGAATCAAGATCTATTCCTTGTCTTTGTCTTTTAGAGGATTGAGGTTGCTCTTCTAATCGGTTCAAATTTTGTTCCACGGAAGTAGCAATTGGAGAGTATGAACTTGGTTGTGGCAACTTGGAAGATACTGAAGGGTAAAATCTCTTCATTGTAACACAAACTGGATTACCAAGCAACCATCAAGTCAGCAACCATAACAATCAAAATTCCAGCAACCATAACATCAAAATTCATGTAACAAGAATAACTGATCCAACAGATTCTTGGTGTTGTTTGGTATAGAATATGTGTTCTGATTGATAGTGAAATTCATTGGATTTCAATAAAGTCTAAAATTAACAATTGTAGTCCTTTCAAATAATTTCAGTGAAAGCCACAAAATCAATCAACTTTCAAAAACAACTATACGAAAATGTAGTCTCGAATTCCTTTAAAAATATCTAATTAAAGGATTCAACCAAAATCTTGAACAAAATTGAAAACAAGACTTGAGAATAAATAAATTCAGATGGCATATTAGTATTTCTATTTCTAAAAGACATAATGCCTAATAATATCAATTCAGAGAAGAGATTAAGAGAACAATCAAAAAAAGATAAGAAAGCAACTGGTGATGCACAAGCACAGAGATAAGAAAGCACATACATTTAAAAAATTGAAAAACCTGCCCACCTTAGGCTTTATCACTGAAAGAAAAAAAAGATTAAAAATCAAAGAGAAACCTGATAGATACCAAGATGAAGCCCTTTGAGAGAGACGATCTTCTGGGCAGGGGCTAACGGAGGTCGGAGGAGATGACTATAGAAGCAAATCTTGAGAGAGAGAGAGGCATCGAAGGGCTTGGGATTAGAACTGATCGTGTTCTGATTTGGGGAATTGAGAGATATTTTAAAAATTGTAAACGGCGTCGTTTCGGAGTAGAAAAAGAGATGTATATTAAAAAATCCAAAAATAGACACCATTGTGACTATCAAGTTTCGAACAAAGGACCATTTAGAAAATTTGAACCCTCTTTACCTTGTTTGAAGCAGGTTCAAAATAAGTTTTATACCATTTCATTTTTGAAGACAAAAAAAATGTACGTGTATACACAGTATTATTTTTCGACGAAACGGGTTCATATGAACCCTCTTGACCCCATGTGGGTCCGCCCCTGGGTTCGTTGGTGATCAATTCGAACATGAGAGAACGGGTTGAGTTCGAAAATGAAATTCGCCGATTGGAATATGATTTTTAGTGTGTGATTGAGCTGAAAAAATAAAGTAGCTCCTGACTTCCCAATGGTGAGCTTTCTGGTTGAACCTCCTGTAAAAGAAAATTCAGCTCAATCATACGTAAAGTTTTGCAATTTCGATCGTATATGCCTAAAGTTACGTCCCAAGTGGCTAAACTTGCAAATTTTGATACACTACGATTATAGCTTAAATAAGTGGTCCCAAAATCGACATAACTGAACAATGTAAGGAGGGAAAACAAAAAGGAAACCCTAAGATTTATTTTGTCCCAGCCACACTTCCCTCAGTTCGCAGAGGCTTTATACCTTCAAACCCTCTCTGCAATTCCGTCCCACAAAACTTTTGTAAGTTCCTTTAATTAGTTATTTATTGCCATATTGGCGTGTTTTTATCTTTTTGTTAATTACTTGATTGATTCCTTAATCTTTGCCCTTTCACGTGATCAAACTTCTACGAAATTTACCTAAACTTTGAATCATGTCCATGTTTTAATGATTTTGAGTTTCTTGAACCATTATTATAGTACCCATCTTTCATGATATATTACAATCGGTTGCTTTTCTGCTTTAATTTGCAGCTACCCAGGTCATGGCACTAGTTCAATGCTTCATAGAACTCTTGGGTTCACTATTTAATAAAATATGTAGAGGTGACGAGGAACTTGCTGAAATGTTTGGACGTTTGCCTGATTGTGTCGTCATTGATATCCTGAGTAGACTTCCTATTGATTCCCTTGTTAGATTTCGAAGGGATTGTAGGGATTTGAGAGCTTTGATCTCATCACAGTATTTTACCACCTTACATCTCAGTAGAGCTAGACCCATGCTTCTTCTGCATGATTGTTATGATCCTACCAAGCATAAGAAACGGCTTTATGTGCTCAGTGAAAATGTTGATAAGAAGGAGACTTTATCTCCAACCTGAGCTTAAGATTAATAAGCACCTAGGACTAGGAGAACGCTCCCCTTCTCCTATATACTCTTGTCAAGGAGTTCTTCTGTTTGCTAATAAATACTACTGGCCTCGTACCACTTATTATGTTTTGAACCCGATAACTCAAGAGGAAGTAATTGTACAACATACACATCACCCTGGCCGATTATGTGCTTTTTATTTTTGTCGAGGATTCAAACTTTTTTATGCGCAAGTACGACGCAGTTGGTGTCAGTATTTAGTATATATATTCAAGACACAGACGTGGAGGAAAGTCCGTTCATCATGCACTTTCAACTTTTTGCCGTATCGTGGCTCTCCAGCAATTGTTAATGGAGCATTGCATTGGATCGTGTACACTTATTTAAAAAAGGACCTTCCTAATTGTGCAAATGGAATCATGGTTTTTAGAATGGATAAGGAAGAACTCTCTGCTATGCCTCATCCTGGAAGAGTGTGCAAGGCAAAGCAAGTGCATGAAACGATGAGACTCTTAGTAAAAGAAAACTGTTTGTCTTTCTGTCACTTGCTTGTCTCTGAGCTTGCAGTGTATATATGGATCTTGGAGGACTATGAAATGTGGGCATGGAACAAAAGGTATAAGGTTAATATCTGCAATACGCGATTCTTTCCTCTTGGTTTGCCTTACGGCGGAGTACCTAGAAACGTTTATTGGTGGATAAAGTTTTTCTATATCCAAGACGGTGAACTTGTATTTTACTACATGGATAGTGTCTTTTCTTATAATTTAGATCATAAAACTGTGAAGGGATTCAAACTGCCGCAAATGTTATTTGCTTTAGGGACTTATATAAAGAGCCTAGTGGCAATAGCTTAACTCCCCTCACTTCTTTTGTTCTTATTCTTTACCTTTCTAGTTTTGGTGTTCTATCTAATGATGTTTTTAGTTGGGTTGTTGATATTCTAAATAAACTATGTTTAAGCATGTAACCCTTATATAAAGAGCCTACTGACAATAGCTTAACTCCCCTCGCTTCTTTGATACTCCATTATTCTTTACCTTTCTAATTTTGGTGATAGGTTGACTTGTTAGTATTCGGCATAAAGAATGTGTACTTGCATTCAGCTTTTTCCATCTGCTCCAACTGTTGAAATGTCATGAAGGAGATTGGATCCTCCTCCAGGGAACTGTCAAATGTTATCGCGTAAGTCCATAAGCTACTAAAGGGGTATTTGTTGACCAAATGACTAGAACTTTCTCCGAAACTCTATTATCCTTTGTGATAATGTAAGCTGAGTTCACAAGCTGAGTTCATGTTATAAGTGTTAATGATGTGGCATTGTTTATTTGGCACTTTTATCTCAAGCAAAACTACAATTTTTTTTTGGGATAATTGTGGTGTCAGGGCCAGCTTGCGCAAACCTTGACTAATTCCATGGGTACCTGCTACCTCCCACCAAAATAGTTGCAACTTGTAATTGTTTGATGATTTTTTAATACAAAAATTAGTTTTCTAACGTTGTTGCAATAGACATTTAGTTCAATGACTGACCATATGTGAATTACTCTGGAAAAAAAAGCAAGAATCTTTTTTGGTTTGGAGGGTGTTCCATACGAAGCTGCCGCCTGCTGCCAGATGATACTTTAATGTAAATGAGTTGTGCAATTCTTTCTCTGTGTTTTTGATGCTTCAATCGGTCAGCTTGCTATTTGTTTGCTTTGCTGGAATTAAGTTTGAATGTTTTCCTCTAAAGCTTTTATCTGTAAAGTGATGGATAGGAATCTAACAACCTTGTTATCCAGTATTGAACTGGAAAATGAGATGTGATCACAAATATGGGGAAGAGAGGTTATCGATTCATAAATAGATGCTTTACAATAAAACTTGTACGTTTTGTGGGATTATGTGTTGTGAATGCAGTGTGGCTTTATTTTGAGGAATGTGACTTCTGTAGGAGCTTTATCAATGATTGTAATGAAGCTATGGCAACTCGAGAGGGATAGAAGATACTGATTCTAAGGTTCTCATTAGAATCAGTCTCTTTAATTGCTGAGACTGATTCTAAGTTTCTTATTGATGCTCAAGGAGGGCTTTTTCCCCTTGGAAAATTTTATATCACATCAAAAAACTTCAATAAGGGGTCTCAATAATACGGAGTGCAGAGTTTCTATATCACAAACCCCTGATGGAAATTCTGAGTGTTTTAACTAAGACAGGGTCACTGTTCTATATCAAAACAACATTAAGTAGGCTCGAAGCGGACAATAGTGAAACCATTCAAACAAACCTCATTAGAGTCGGGTGAATTTGAGTCTGTTTTAAAAGGCAGAATCGGGACTAGCCTTTGAGCGAGGCATCAAAAAGCTCCTTTAGGCTTATGTGCGGGGTCTTGTCTCGTATTGTTATGTACGTCTCGTACTCACCCAACGGCCGGTGCTCGTCCAATGGTTCTTTATGCAATTATATGTATCTCAAGTCTCCTTAACTAACCGTCAGCTCTTCGAAAAAACCTACGGACGAAATAAACACATTTGGAACTGATAACTTGATGCAGATGGAGAGGTGGCCTTAAAAGTGAAGGGCGAGGTTCAAACGGGAAAGGTTTGCGGTGGATACCTGGACACCCAGAGACAAGGAAGGGTGTAGTAATCGACGAAATGTTTCGGGGAGTTAGAAAGATTTTATGTCCCCATTCTCCATGTGTTCTCTTTTTGGCTGCAAATATACAAGTGCCTAAACTCCCACCGTGAAGGTGAGATTTAAATTTTGAAAAAAAGAAAAGAAAGTGGTACACTTAAATTTTTAAAAGTCACTAGGCATTGCAATGGATGATGACACGGAAGAAGGGAACTTGGGCCTTACCAAGATGAGTAAATTTTATGGGTGATCATTTAACTTTGTGTTGATTATGCAAAAGTTATTTTTCTTCTTTTTGTTGCGTAAAAATCATTCAACTTTTACTTTTCCATTTAAACTGCATCTAGTATTTTTAATTATTTAACTGATAGCCAGTGTTAGCAAACTTCTAGCAAAAGCCTTTTTGTTGCTTCTCAAACAAACTCCTCCAACAACACCAATCACAACATATCAACTTTTCTATTGATGTATATGTTATTGATGGATGTTCCTCTGGTTTTAAAATAGTTTTAGACATTAATTTGTTCGAAGAACTAATGGTAAAATTGTTGACAACTCTACAGCTTGGTCTTTGTAATTTAGTGATTGACACTTGAAGTTTTTGGTGATTGAAGTTTTCGAACTCTGTTGGGTATTGAATTTGAGGGGTGAGTTCGAAACTGAAATTCGCCGAACTTCGATAGTGTATACTTAAAATTAGGTCCGAAGTGGCTAATTGTAAATTTTAATACAATACATTGTAGCTTAAATAGTGGTCCCAAAATTAACTATATGTTCACATGCCCCATTGTCCACTGGAAACCGAATTGAGTAATCGATGCCGTATGCCTACTGGAAATATCGGTTAATACCATATTTAATTAAAATAATTTATTTTACTATGTATACCTACTTCAAAAATTTATTATAATTATTCATTATTCCACATTTTCACTCAATTTAATTTGAATTTCTTCGCAGTTATTATGTTTTAATCCTGAAATAAGTAGGTTACTTACGGTGTTACTAATGGACAACAACAACAACAACATTGTTTACCTCGAAAATACGAGTAACAATTAAACTTGATTTGTGGTTATAAAGATATGTGATTTAATTCATTACCAATTAATAATCAAGAAGTGTAAAGTATAAATGAGAGAAATGAATGAATCAAACCGGTGTAACTTAAGCAATATCGACCTCGAGACTGGTGACCTCGAGATGGGTTAAGAACAACAAGGCAAGAACAATAAAGCTAAAGGATAGCTCTGATGAACAGTAAGCGAGAAAAGTATGATAGTATATTCTTTGTCAATGATTAGATGATGTTACAAATGATTGTGGTCCCCTTTATATAATAGGGTAACCCTAAATAAGGTATATTTCATTTTACAGTAAAGAATCTTATTGGTACAACTGTCTAACCGCCTAGTACGGAATCGTACAATTCTATTCCAGAATTTGCGGCATGATTTTGGGGACGTGACAGGAATCTCGATCATTTTGTTAGAAATTCATAACGACATTATTTCGGGGTCGATTACACTCGGCTTCGTTCGTCGTACTTCAATCTTTGGGCCTTACACTCTGTCTTCGACCTCGAGTCTGATCCGTCGGGCTCGAACTCGACCTTACCTGAACTTGGGTTTAAAACGATCCCTCGGGCCTGGGGAAATCGGGCATATCGTATACAGATAGTCCCGTATTTCTTAGAATAAGATGATAAGAAATGATTTGAATCTCGATCTTCCGAAGTCTCTGACGATAATGTCATTCCCATGACGTAGGCGTTCGATATGACCGAAAAGGTCCGTCAGTTCACTTCCCCAAAAGATTAAATGCACGCCAGTAATGGTCGGCCACTAGCGTCGCCGAACCATCGCCTCTCATATATAAATATGGGGTTCCTTCTTTGAACTAAAAACTTTATCTCTTCATTGTATTTACTCTGCTCACTTTTTCCTCTTCATCTCCTTCTCCTCTAGTTACTTTTTACTCCGGTCACCGAAAAACTTCAAGCTCCCATAAAACACAACGCTCTGCTACCGCCTGTATTCCTTGGTTTAACCTATGGCTAAAACTTTCAAAATAGTCCCCCAAAAAGAGATAGAGCATCGTCTTCTTCTACTTCCCGGCCGGCCAAACCAGTGGCGCCGCTGGCTCTTCGAGAAATCATCCCCGACCCTTGCGTGATAAATAAGGATTTTAATGTCGAAAATCCTCCTGATATCCTAGGCCGATGCGAACATGTATCTCGATATAATAGTTCGATATCAAAGAAGCACCTCAAAGCCATGAAGAAGGACTGCGACTGGGAAGGCGAGGTCGTGGTTCATATTTCATGCCCTGAGGAAAAAATCACTACCCATGTGGAGGGATTTTTAGGTGTTTATGCTTACCCCTTCACACTGGGTCCCATCGATCCGGTAGTGATCGACTTTTGCAAAAGGTACGAGGTTACCCTCGGCCAAATCCATCCTTCCTTTTGGCGCATCGTGGTCATGCTGTACTATTTTTCTAGTAAGGCCAGGGATTAGAATTTACCCTCAACCATCTCATTCGGTTGTATTGATCCCAGCTGTTTTGAGGGCTCATCAAGCTGCAACATCGAACAAAGAAGGCCTTCTTTGCTAGTAATGATTAAGACAAAGATCGAAGCTGGGTGGGCCGGTTCATCAGCGTAAGGACTTTGGATGTCAACCCTAGGGACAAAATGTCATTCTCGGAGAGATGGAACTTTAATCGTAAGCGGAGTTCTTTTCCACATACATATCTATATTTTGCTTCCGTGTTCCATAATGTTTTTACCTTTTCTGCAGTTGTTACTTGGAAGCCTCACGCTATCCCTGACCTCGAGGACTGGGTCCGAAAGTTAGCAACGAGCTCCTCGTATGATGAGCACAAATGGCGCGATTTATCGAAGGGAAAATGGGAGGCCAAACATCATGATAAGTTCTCTTCCCAAGCTTTGATACCTTTCTTTTACTAGTGATGTCATCTCATTCATGTTTATTTGTGCAGGCATCGGAGATGTCTCCAAAATAAGGCCAGCCCAACCAGGGGAAGGGACCGAGTCCCCGATTTCGAAATCGGGGAAAAACAACAAAAGAAAGAGGGCTTTGAAGCCCGAAGATACCCAAGATTAGGCGGACCTTACTCGGAAGACAAGGAGGAAGCTTATCTATATGGACTTAGATTCAGCCATTCAATATCTGGAAGACGAAGAGAATGAAGGTGAAGAGTCAGCTCTGGTGCCCCGAACTAAGAAACCAGTCGAGGACGCCAAGTCCTCCGAACCTGATATCTTTCCTCTCGGTGAAGGAACTCCGAAGAAAGACTCGGGTAAAGCCCTCGAGTCCCTCGAGATCGAGATCGTTCCTTCTCTTTTAAGAAATACATCGGAGGGGACAATTTCTAAGAAGGTCGAAGCTAATTAGAGCGCCACGAGCGAGG